CTAAAACATTCAGACCCAACAGATTCGTTTCTATAGTTTGCGTGAACACAATTCATTTCATGCTACTGCGCACACAGACGGTTATTTAATTTACTGCTTGAGGCTCACAAGTGTGCTGGTAAGCAAGTGCAGAAATCCAAGAGTGTGTGGGGTCTCTTTCAAATCATATCACATTCTAATCTTATCTGGAGCTGGAGATGGGAGCTGTGAGTGTGTGTTCCTAACCCTGGCCTGTGGCTGTGCAGGCTGCTTGTGCATGCTGGTATGTTGAAAGCCTTCATTCAGTCACCTTTTGGAGGTAATCTGGGAGACAGCTGCAAGCCCCCATGTGAAACCCTCCCACTGATGAACAGAGGAGGTGGCCAGGCTGGTTTGAGAAGGCTATCTAGACTGATGTAAAAGAAAGAGAAAAAGGAGATAAACCTCTGAATACAAAACAAAAACCACTAAAGAAGGTAGGAACAGCAACGTGACAAATATATTCAGAAATTTGGCATTGATTTTCCCAGAGTCAGCATGACTGGGTTAAAATTAACAAAAAATGGAAAGTGATTTAAAAAGTTTTTTTGTAAGGCAGAACCCATTTTATGTTATTAGGAGAGAATTAAATGATTTTTTTCAAATTATGAACTGGATTTATGTTTGGATCTTAACCAGGCCAGTCTAACACATACTTGTTATACTGGCCTGTGTAATGTTAAAACATAAAATATGCTTTGTGATGTGAACCACTAAAAGTTCAGACATGAATTAGCTGGTAAGTCCTGAAAAATGTGCTTGGTTTTGTATGGGTTAAATTCATCTGAGCAAAAGCGTCTGCAACAAATTTATTCCATGCTTCTATGATAATTAATCTGCAAAAACAGAAGTTAACATTGTCAAGATGTCTTCCTGCTAAACCTAAAGCTGCTATGAGACAAGTGCTCTCTTTTCTTGTATTGTTTAATCCCACATTTTAAAGGCAATCTGACCTTTATCACAAGTTAATAAGGTGTTTTAAATCTCTTACTGCACCATTTGAACCTGTGAAAGCATACTAAAACTAAAACCATGACCTAAACAATTAGCAGATTCAAGTAGTTCCTTAGTCAAAGTCATCAACTATGTTTAAAACCAGAGTGTGGTGGAATCCTGAGCAAAGACCAGTTGGGTAAATGTTATATAAATAGACTACTGACTTCAAACTTGGGATAGAGCTCTTTCCCGCATCAATAGTTTTAATTTGCCACGTCAGTCTGCTTGCTTCATTTCTCCCTCTTTTCCTCCCTCTGTGCTCATACTCGCCATAAGAGTGTATCACAACTTCTAACACCGGCAGGCTGAAGTAGGACGGCCTTCTTTTCCTCGCCAGTTGCCATGGTGAATTGTGTGTAGCATCAGGGCTCCATTGAGGATTCTATGAGTCACAACACTCCCGATTCAGAAGACAAAATAAAAAAAAAAAAAAGAAAACTCAGTTGACTCATATCAGCTGTTCTGAACCCAAACACAGCCCTTACCACATCTTAAGGTTTATCAAATGAGAGTTAGCCTCACACATTGTTAAATATTTTCATTGGGACAGGCTCTAAAATTGGTCTGACTCATTCTTTTGATGCCTTTTTTGGCAAGTTCACAACTGTTTAATGCTTAGCAGCAGTTGTGAGCTACTTAAATCCAGATTATCATTTACTTAGAGAAAGGAGAGGACATCTTTATGCATGTGCCATATTAATTCAGCGTTGGTGGGCTTAGGACGACTCTTCTGTAGACAAACAAAAAGAGAGTAACGGCTCTGACATCAATTAGCAGAAAAAAGCCTCATCCCCTGCCTTCAACGAGGCTCCGCTAATAGCAGTCTGTTTGCAAGCTGCCATCCGATCGAGTGAAAACCATATATGCACACACAAACCCATTTTGTCCATAACCTCCTCAGAGTGTACTGAATTAAGCTTTATCCAATTAATGAAGAAACATGTCTTTCTCTGGCTGCAGCTATTTGAATCTTGAACTTTCAGCAAATCTGCTTCTGTCAACACTCGACAATCTGGGATGAGAACAAAGGCGTTAACGGAAAACAGTGCAAGCAGATTTAGCAAATGTTGCTTCTCTGTTGCTTTTAATGGGAAGAGCAAGTCTCACCGCATACTCCATGAATGGACCAAAACCACTAAACATTTTAAGCAGCTTTAATCTACTCGTGCCTATTTGCAAAAGCACATTAGAAGTGGTGAGTTTTTTTTTTTTTTTAATGTCAGAAAAATGACGTTTGTAAGATTTAGCAGACAGCAATTTATCACTCAAGAACAGAGTCAGTAGTGCTGAGAGCGCATTTCCAAAACGAGAGTTTATTTATATCTTTCTGTAACCAATAAATGTGCTGAAGTAAATTAGTGTAGAAAAAAAACAGGGAAGAATTATTTACCAAAGATTTGAGGTATGGGCTGTCCACTTAGGAGCATTATTTTAGACTCGTAAATGAAAAAAAAGCTGATGTGCTGGGCTAGAGAGAGAAAATTCATATTCCACCTCACTGCTTATGAAAGGTAACACGAAGGACTGCCAAAGCAAAACAGGATGGAGAGCACAGAGCTTGGCAACCCCAGACAATCTGGTAACTTTTTTTGGAATATTACAGTTTTAAGTTGCTCTACTGTGATTATGGGGAAAGAAAGGCAGTTCAGATAAAATGTTATTCACCGTTCCAAAACAATAGGCACATAACACGCTCTACGTCGAACTAGGCCTGTCACGATAAACGATAAATCAATTAATCGCACGATAAATTAAACCTATTGACCTCATTTTAATTATCGGTTTTATCGTCTCTTCCTGCCATTTTTTCTTTTTCTTGATGACACTGAATTAAAAAAGGCTCAACTCCGATGTCCTCCACTGACCTTCCCTTCCAATTTCCTTAGTGTAATGTCCAGAGTTGTCGGCCCATTTTCAAAACCTGAGAGACACATTAGCCGACAGAAATCCTAGGCATAACGGTTCGATCGGGTTCGATCGTGCCGTGTGGTACCCAGCCACACAGCCATTATTTTGGACTTGTAGCCCAAAAATAATGGCTACAAGTCCAGTTAACTAATTTTAATATCAGGCATTAATCAATGCTTTACTAGAATCTACCTGCAATGCATGTGGCTAGAGTCAGCGTAAAGTCCTGACTGAATGAAAATGATCATAACCTATTTATGTCACGTTAACGAAGAACAGCTGAAAACTTGCCGGGTTTATCAACAAACCCCTGATTTAGATCAGAGCTAAGTCAGGGGTTTAGCTCCTGATTTAGCTATCTAAATCTAAATCACACTGCAGGATGATCAGTTACGAAATCACCAGCGACAATCTTAGGTCGCCCAACGATCTAAGATTATCTTAAGGGGAAAATAGGGGTAAAAAAATCGTGTAGTATGATCTTCTGCATCAGGTAGTCGGATGTGCCCATCTTCTCTATCTAAATCTATTGATTACTGAAGGTCAATACAGTATACAGACTTCATAATCTGCACTATTTTGGTTGAATGCAGTATTTATTTCCACTTTGGCTTTATGTTGTTTACTTTTTATTCAAGTACGTTTTTTGTTAATGGAGACTGAGAATCCATTTTATTTTTGTTTTTGCTCATTTTGTTTATTTAGTTAATCAGTTCCAGTGTCATGTGTTCTTTTGAAAATAAAGCGCATCTATCTATGGCAGGAAATAGCATGCATTATTACATCATTTCCATTAAATCAGTGTCAAAAGGTCTTGAAACAATATTAGCGTTTATCGCAATAATTTTTTAGACAATTAATCGCTCAGCAAAATTTGTTATCGTGACAGGCCTATGTAAAACTTGAATTAAGAAAAAAAAAAAAAAAACAAGGTAAAGTGTGATCCTAGGCATCTATTGCATTGCATCAGTTCCTTGATAACAATTCAGGTTGTGGTCAGGTTAGAAAACACTACAGGAGTTATACAGCGGCAGACGTGACCCTGTTTGCTAAAAACACAGAGTATCAGCAAGTACCAAAAACAGAGAAGTCTTATGAAGTCCTCGCTTCTTAATTATTAACAAGCTTGTTAGTTAAAGTTATCAACAGATGATCCAAAGCCACTGGTATAGCTGCAAGAGTAAGTTTAATTAATAAACTTATTTTCAAACAAAAACTGACTTCAATTAGCTAAAAAAAAAGGAAACAAAAAAAAACATGATCTCTCTCTGACATTCCTATTTATATCTCTATAGTGAACTCTGACCCGCTTCCCTGCCACAATTAAGGAACAGCATGATGCTGCCAGCACCATGTTTCATCTGTTGGGATATCAGTGTTATTAGTTTGCTCACGACATGTCCAAAGCTTCTGCTGTTGCACTCCACTACCAATAAGCTAATATGTCTAACAGCACTGAGACCTCTTGCTCTGAATGTTTGTTTTAAAGCAGGTTATCTGAGAATATTCATATTCATGTTTCATTTGATTACAAAAACAAATTGTCCCCCTTCTGAATGATGCTAAAAAAAAAGAGAACAAGTTTTGTCTCTATGAACATAATCACACTGAATGCACATTTTAAGTCAGAGCTACATAATAAAATTAGATTGCACTGCTACAAAAAAAAAAGTCAGATGGACATTAATTTACGAAAACTAATTGTAGACAAAAAAAGTTGGGTGTGCTGTAAATTGCCCTCATCTCTCAGTTCAAACTATAGCCATTCAAACACTTCTGTCATAAAAACATTATCTTTGTCCTCAAATATGATCCTGTGATGTCTTTATTTCAAGCTGAGACAACAAAGAGAATAAGTGGCTTATTTTTTGTAAGACTAAAACCACACTGGGGACGGAAAGAGGCCCTTTATCTCAACAATCCCCTGGTCGTTCCCCACAAACGTCCTCTTCCAGATATGCCCCCGTTTTATGGAATGTCCCAGGTGAAGCTTTCCTCTTTAGTCACAAAGTGAGGAGAGGCTCTAATGAACAATTAAGTTACTATGGATCTCTACCTGAGTGTGTCCTTCAAAATGCCTTTGTGTCCCTGCTCCCCCCTCCACTGGTGTGCTCAGACAGCGAGTCTCCAGGCCTGCTTATCTTTCTGTCCTCCACAGCAGGCCCCCGCTGAGACGGAGAACCAGAGTTTATTACAGTTTCCAATAATCTGCAACCCCCAAGGAGCTCAGAATGACAGTACTTGGTGTGGAAAAAGGACAGGACTCTATTTCACTACTAATCCTCTGATGGGCCACCAATATGATGCATGACCACAAGTAGTAAACTACAAGAATTATGGCAAATCTTTGGTTTTTTTATTATTATTATTCAACTGAAGCTAAATTTTAAAAGAAAGACTCTAAAGTGAATTGTGTTGATGGGTTTACAAGTTCAAAGACATTCATGCACAACATTGACCGTCACGCGCACTTCTGGCCACCACCTCTGGGAGCATCAGTGACCTACCACATAACCGTAGCCAGAACAACCAATGAACTGAATTTCAGGTTATCCAGGGAAAAACTAATCCTGTGACTCCCCAGAGGAGTCACTTTCATTTGTTGTCCCTGGAGAGACTTTTAAAAATACACAGTAACTTACTTTTGACAAGGATTAAGGATCTTAACATTTTAAATTTCCTTTCCAATATAATTACCTTGGAAGGCACAAGAGCTAATGATAAATGTGTATTTTCATCTTGTTTGTAACTAGCCTGAGGAGGATGATAAAATTAAACTTTGGCAAGCATTTCTACTGGTGGCTCATATCTGTTGTTACAATGAGAACAATTGTTCTCCAAAGTACAAGCTGACGGTGGTTAACTTTGTTTGTCTGTTTGCTGTGTGCACTGAAAGCTGACATCTGTGACAGATATTAGAGCAGTGAGCATAATTGAAATACGCCCTGGGGTTGCAGATTCATGTTCTGAAACCAGAAACAATCCAGAAGAAGAAAGCACGCCCAGGGGTCTCTTACAGAGAAAGCCCGACTTGCAGAGTGAGGGCCAGGTGATTTAGAGCAACACGAGGAGGGTAGAGGTCTGAGGTCTGACATTTATCCATCAGAGAATGTTAGAGGGAGAGCGGGGGTGGAAATAAAGTAATCATAGTTACCTCCACTGCTACCTTGGAGGTGCAATTCCATCCTTTCTGAAGAGACACACAAAGCGCAGCGGGGGTATCGGGTGGCCTGTTCCCCCGTCCTCTGGCGTAAGCAACAGCCTGGCCAATGCCAACCTAACCATCTAGACTAGAAGAGAGTACAGAACATTTATACCCTCCCAACACAGGAGCTTAAGTCTTACACATCCCAATAAATCTGGGCTTTTTCCACCTCTTAAACCCCCTAAAAGTCCTTAGCATAGGCTATGAAGCCAGAATGAAAGGTGAACGCGCACATGTGCCAAAACAATCAGATTCAAGAAAAAGAAAAAACTTGTTTTATAGAAACTAGCCATAGCTACAACCTCCAGGTCAACATTTCCCCGTTGAGAGAGAAATACTGTGCCCTACAGAGATGGATCTGCACCAAAAACAATACAAAGAGTGTAACAAATCTCTCTGTGGACTGGGTTAGTCATAAATGTCAACCTTGCAACACTATTAATATCAACACAATTACTCTGAGGACACTTAATTAAATGTGGCTTGGAGCATTTCTGCAAGACAAAGTTATAAATTTACATTCTGAAGCTTGCTGGGTATGCACAACCATGCCTGGATGTTCAGGGAAAAAAAAAAAAAAAAACAAACACTGGTGTGAGGCTGTGTTAGACTGTCTGTCGTCAGGGGACTAATCAATCCAAAGAGAGGGCATAGCAAGCAGGAAAGGGCACAGCAGGTGGAAGCAACCTGAACCAAAGATCAAACTTTCAGTCTGCTCTCTCAAAGCCACTTAGCTTGAAACTTAATTCCACAATGACCTCTTGTTCACTCCAACAATCAATCAATATCTAGTGTAGTTATGCAAAAACTACAAATCTTTTTTTTTTCCTCATTCAATTTACATCATCAAATGCAAGTTAAGTTTCTTAGAGTGAGTTGGTACCTTGTTCTTCCGTTTTTGACCTTATCAAAAGGTTTTCGATCGGTTCCTTGCCGTTTACCAGCAATTACGACAAATCTTTTACAGAAAAAGCTGCAAAAAGACATCAAAGAACATGTTATACAAAGATAGTCGTATTTCACTTATGTCTCTGTTTAGGACACTGAGTCACTTAGATCAGGAAGAGAGAAAGGAGATGTTTTGTATTTAAAATAACATTTCTGTTTTTCTTTATTGTATTACATCTTATTCTTCAGTTCAAGCATTATTGTGTAAATTGTACCTTTTACACCTTTTGCAAGATATCAAAACTCATTTCTGACATGCTTTCTTGAAAATGCAAAGCATGGAATGTCTTCTTTGGGACATAAACACCTGCAACTCCAATCAATAGCCGATCAGTGAATGAAAAGGGGCCCCTGTGGGAATCACAGCAGAGGGTGAGGAGAAGCACCGTCCCACAGCACACCATTAAACTGTGTAACACACTTGCCAACATGCCATTAGTCCAACTCAGCCTATTACTGCAAGGCCAGTGGACTTGGCTGAGAAGGCATTTTGACCTCACACACATATTAGTCATGAACACCACACAAACACACACACACAAACAAACACAGTTAAATAAATTATAGCTATGTCCAGTCAAATGGAACCAGCAGCTGACTTTAATGTTGCCATTTAGAAAAGGCAACTCCAAAATTATGGTATTACTCTTGTTTTTCATCCTTTAAGCCAAACAACATTTTTCCTTTTTATTAAGTTAAATACTTAGAAAGTACCTCATGCTGTGGAAAACAGATGATCAACGTGAATAACTTGGCCAGAAACATGGCAAACTTCAAGATCATAATTTTAAAATTAAAGGTGAACACCATCTACCTGCGGTCATCACATAAACAGAGACATTCACTGGAGCTATACAATTTATCCTCCACTTAAAATGCCAGCTGTGACCTATCGCAATCAGAGACAACAGACAAAGACGTGTTTGATACATGACACACGCCCAGCAGACTTAATTGCTTTATGACAGAACAAGACTATAATCAAACCAGCACGGCTCCCAGCCCCAGATAACGAGGGGTTGGTGTGTTGGTGTGTGTAGGTGTGTGTGTGTGTGTGTTTGGGCAGCAGGACATTAATAACTATATTTGAAAAAAAGATGAAAAACCCAATTATTAATAGGATGTGGCTCCTCCATTGTACCTTTTGTTTCCAGTTGAGATATTGACTCCTATCTGGGTGACATTTTGAAGACGGTTTTCTGGTGACATTTAGGAGATGTCACATTTGCTCCAACCTCCTTTCGAGATCTCTAACCAGATAATTGCAGGTGTAATTTTGGCTTGGCTGTCAGGTAAATCTTCATGATGCGTCAGAGAGCACGGCACCGGGCATCCATGTGTATAATAATGCTAAGCCCTGTCTCTATGTGTGTGTGTGTGTGTGTTTGGGAAAAGCAGTGAGTCCTCGCATTCCAGCGGCTGTTCTAACATGTTGTAAACACAAGGTGTTGGAGAAACATTGGACAAGGGGTGGTGGAAAACCCTCATACTTCTGACAAGTGCTGCTAAAGGGGATCGGGGTTGGGGCACAAGATATAAGCTATCAGAGATAAACATCTCTCAACCTGCAATGAAAGCACAAAAGGTTTATGGGAAATTAACCCCATGGGCCCCCCCCCCCCCTTTTCCCTGGGAGAGGGTACTCAAAGAAGTGCTCAGAACTTTCTAGCTCATAGAAAACACACAAAAACAATGTGAAAATCTTGGACTTCCTGCATCTGACGCCTCATTTCCAGCATCTATGAAAGTAAGTCAAGCAAAGGCATTCTGCCCGATTTAGGAAGGGATAATTTATTCCTACATCAGCTTGTGCTGGTAAAAATCAGCCTCAAGGCAAGGATCTGACAGCACACTGGCATACGCACACACCTCCCATGCTGGAGTAGACTGGATGCAAATTCCACACACCAGAAACTCGTTTTATCAAAATATAATTTGCTCAAATGCAGGAAATTCTGCGCAAAACTTGGGATGTACTGTTGTAGTTTAGCATTGGGCTACAGCGCTGGCACAATCAAATGCAAAAAGGTTACAATAAATCAAAGTGTTGAAGCTAACAAAAAAAAAGTAATGCACTTTGCAAGTCATATTAACATTCATACACAAAACTGAAAGTCTAATCTGTTCGGCGCATTTTTGGCTATGAAAATACCTTCTAAAGGGGAAATCAAACACATCTCACCAACCCAGTGTCCCCAGTACGGGAAGAAGTTAAGTGTTGTTGGGTCCAATTATCTGAAAGTGCCACAAACAGTCCAATTCACAGTTTTAAAAATGTTCATTTCTGTCCACCTCTTCCAAAACACGCTCACATGCAGTTTGAAGCCCGCGTCGCTGCGTCGCCTCTCGGACTCTCTTACCTGGACTCTGGCTGAGGAACAAAGTTGCCAGGACGCCCCACAGCACCGCGGCCAGCTGCATCTTCAACCCCACTTTTCTCTCGCTCTTCTCCGGGCTTCTCGACCCCCTGCTTCCCCCTCTTCCCTCTTTATTCTGTCCCCCTTCAACACAAACAAATACCGACGGGCTTCTTTCACAAGAAGACGCTCCCCCGGCTCTCACCCTAACCTCTTGGCATGACTGACTTTTTCTCCCCGTCTGTCTCCTCGACCTCCTCCGCCTCCTCCTCTCTAGTGATAAAGCAACAAAACCGGGATTAAAAAGTTAACTCTGAGAGGAGCGGCGCGGCCACCGTCTCCAGCATGTTGTGCAGTCGTTCCCGACGGTGTGGATACCAATAGGAGCCGAGGGCTGTACCACCATGGAGTCGGGAGGGTAGTTGAACTAGCTAATGAAGTAAATGAGAGCTAACATTGCAATACATCAACAACAGTAGGAAGTGGTTAACTTTAGAAAGCTGTGAAATAGGGGAATATATATGAAAGTGGTTTAGTGTCCTGTTTTTCTAAGTCATGTCTCATTTTATGCCTGCCTCTGCTCCCCTGTCCCTTACAAAATGGGCTCGTCCAAAATCTCTGCTCTTGTGTCATTTGTTAAATTACGTCTTTTAAAACGCTGGTGGTTCGCAGAAAGCACAGCAGAGCATCAGAGGCATAAATAAACAGTTTGCCCCTGTCTGCTCTGCAAACTTCTTCTCTGACTTTCTTTTTCTCTTTTTGCACAATGAAGGTTGAAAAGGAGAAGAAGTGGAGCATAAAAAGCTTTTCTGTTCTCACGTAAGTAAATGGAGGCAAATGACAGAGTGGCGTTTTTTATAGTGGAGAATAATGACTAAAAGATGAGGTCATTACACAGTCATTCATCCCGCAAATTTACACAAAACTACCAAAGGGATCTGGTGGTAATATTAAAATCTAATTAATTCAAACAATGGTACTGTAGATGCATGGCTTGCTTTCCTAGAATTGCACAACTTCCCTTTGAATGAGAATGATATAACTGTATCACAAGTTTATGCCTGGCAGTGAAGGCCGAAAAGATCCTGCTTTATAACAGTCTAGTAAATCCATCTGGCACTGAAAACAAAAAGGTAGACCCAGACATGGTGGTGGTTCTGATCTGGTACTTTACTTTAACCCTTAAAAAACTAAAAGTTTACTCATATAGTCTTTGTCCAATCAGTATTTGTTTGATTGTCTGAAACATGGAAGTGACAAAAAAGCAAAAACAGAACAACTTCTCTCCCCGCTCCTGCTGTGCACAGTAAAAGTTAAGAGCTGTAATTAAGACCATTTCTGGGTTGGAGCACGAATTAAATAGTTGTCTGGAAATTAACTGATTTATTTTTTGTCTTTTAGCAGAAATACTTCCACAAAAAAATCTACTCAGAAACAATTAAAATATCCATCCATGTGAAATATAAAATTGTCTTACAAATAGCTTCTCTTTTTTTCTTTTTTTTACCAGCCATGTTTTCTAAGAGTTATGTGGTCGATGGCTTTGAGCAGGAAGGGTCTCCTGTAGTGGTCTGCATTACAACACATCCGAACAAACTTCTGACTGAAGACACTCTGTTGTTGCATAACATCCTCATGAAGAGTTTGCTCAGAGTTGTTCATAGGGTTCTTCATTTTACGAAGAATTTTTCTTTGCACAATCATCTCCAGATGTTTCAGAACCAACTCTCTTTGTCAGGTTGTTTGACCTTTTTAAATTCCTGGCTCTGATTCTGCTGCCCCAGCAGAAGAAAAGAGCAGCAGAGATTACACTCTCCACTACATAATACAGAAGATTATGCAGCATTTTTCTGTGACCACTGAATAACCTAAGGTTGCAATCTGCTCTGTCCCTGCTTGAAGAAGGCTTTAGTGTTGCATCTCCATGCAGTCTGTTGTCCAGGTGAACGCTAAAGGTATTTATCCTCCACTACCTGCACTTCTTCTCCCATGATGATGGAAATGGTGTTTGACCCAATCCTGTTTTTCTTGAATTATACAATCATTTCTTTTTTTTGCTCACATTCAGTATGAGATGCTTTTCCAAGAAGGGTTAGCAGTTAATTTAACTAAAGCTACTGTTAAAAGGTCTGGGATAATAACTGTAAACATACAGTACATTCACGTTTATTCACTTACAGTGTTGTTACGCCAACCTTTATCAGATTGTGAAATTAGGCTTTTTCTTTACCCACTTTAACAAAAGATAATTTAAGGAGAAGGAGTGGAATTAAATTACTGTATATTTCCTCCAACTTATTAAAATGAAAGTAAACAAAATCATATTTCCATTTATTTTGCTTTACCTTATTTTTTTTCACATTTCTCCCAAAATAAACTGTCTTAGAAAAACATCTCTGGACATATGTCAAAATAATGGTGCATATCTACAGCATGGTAAACATGAGTAAAAACTGCACTGTTTATAATACACACACCAAAGTCTACTTATTCCTACTTATTCTTTTCAGTGTAAATGGAGCTGCAGAGCCCACTATCTAATTATAGGGCAGCTTTGGTTGGGACAGGAGCTTCCACGTTCCTAAACAGGCCATCATCATTCCGCACACGCCTTTCCTCCACTTTCCTCCATCAGAGAATTACATTTCATCCCAACAGAAGAGGTTTGTGCCATCATGTACTCCAGATTTGATGCGGAGCATTCTGACAAACAAAGCCATGGCCAAAGGGCTGTAATTATCCTCAGCTGAATAAAAAGAGCAATTGTTGATTGAGATTGATTGTTTTTGCTTTGTGTGGCAACAATAAAGAAATAATCATGAGCAGCATAAGCACCATATATTTTTTTTAAATTCCATTTTCTAATATAAAATGTTTTGTTGTCTATAGAAAAGTTTTTTTTATTTATTTCTCACTCACTGATGCACATCTGAAATTTGTAGTTTCTTAGTTTTTTTTATTTCTGATTTGAACTCTTATGAGTGTGAAATTCAATTTTAATTTGGACTTTTTCTCTCTGTTCTTTGATATAAGTTTGATTGTCTTATAATTGACTCCAACAGAATATTTCTCCCCTTGCAGACCAGCAAAATATTCCTCTGAAATGCACATTTGTTGCAGGGAGACTATTGTGGAAGAGTGTGACAATGGGGATTTGTTTGCAGAGAATGAAAGTAACTATTTTATGTCATGGTTAGATAAGTTCCCATTTAAGCATAACATATTACTTAATTGATAAAATATTACTAATTAAATATGCTTTGCTTAAAGGATCAGGACCAGTTAGACCTGGTCCTTTAGAGAGCCTTAAACAATGTGTATTTTTTGTTTTATTGCGGCTTGTGGAATGGAAAAGTAAACCTGTCACTCTGTAATTATAAACCGTTTTCATTTTGCTTTTGTGGTTAGGTTCTTTTGTCAAAGCTAATATGGAAAGAGGAAAATATCTCCATTTAATTTGTTTTCTTGATATTTTTTTTCAGACTTAGTTATTTTCAACAACCAATTTCAACAGAATTTTAGAACTTAAAAAAGTTCTTCAAACAATTAGATGGAGGTAAAATTGTAGACTGCTCCGCAGACCAATAAAATACATAGATTTATCTGACAAACAGAAGAAGACATCCTCTTCTTCATTAATAACAGAAGAGGCCTGCTGTGGTTGGAGTAAAGGGACGTTGTAGAGTTCATTCTTTTCTTCAAATATAAAAAATCAAATATAAAACTAGGACAGTAAAATACAATCCCAATGTAAAAGATTTAAGCTAAACTTGTTTCTTAGAATAAAAAATAAACTTGGCAGAATTAGCTGCTTCTCAAAACAGGTTTCAGTGCAATCAGCATTTCTATTTGATTTTTGTTCTGAACTGTGCCTTTTAGATTGAGCTAAATAAAGATAAAGTGAATCTTTAATTTTACATTAATCCAATTTTCTGACATGATCTTCCAGATAAGTTTTAGGATGTTGTTGGAGCCTGATGTGGTAAGCAGGGTCACATTTTTGGTTTTACCTACAATATTGTTTTGTATGTCTTTTTACTATACATTTTACTCAGTCAAAGCATTTTTTAAAATGAATGAATTTAAAATGCTGCAGAGACAACAGATCTGTTCACTCCTCCATTGGGTGTATGACCCATGTTCACTTTTACATGTAATCTAAAATAAAAAGAAATTAATTTCTATTTTTAATGAAGAACTGTTCCAAAGTGGAGCAATGGCATTTTTCTAATTTTTTTTCAGCTTCCATAGCCAAATAAAATTACAGTGAAAGCATTTAATGTAAAAATAAGTCAACATTGTTGCCTCATATGTCATTACATTCTATTTACCTTTGATCATTGCAACAAAAAACAACTAAATGGGGCTAGAAACATTTTTGAAATAATGTTCTTGTGGATCACTTCTGGGTCATTTCCAATCTTGACCCTCTTGGTTGGTTTTAAAGGGTTTAACCTCTACCTCTCCTAATGGTTCGTCATGTAACAGTTGTCCTTTTCCACACACACCTCTTTCTAGACTGTGTGGTAAAGCCTGAAACATATTCCCATTACATTGGAGTCAAGCCAAATAGGTGAAAGCGTTTAATGTTTAGATTTAGTTCGCAAGACATAGATTACAGATCCACCTGTAAAGGCATAGGAAAAATAAAATGATCATTCGTTTTCATTTGAAGTGGTAAAAAGTTGGAACAATACTTAACTGACTTGTATAGCATCTGTTACTTTATGACACTTTTGGTTTCTGGCATTTTATGGACGGTGCACAATTTGACTGCTAGAGTAAATTAAATGTGTGTGTGTGTGTGTGTGTGTGTGTGTGTGTGTGTGAGAAAAAGAGAGCAAGAAAGGTGTTGACAGAACAGCTGCTGCTTAATCACTTTAGCTTGAGCTGATAAATGAAAAGGTGAGCAGGGAGACCAGAGGGACACCACAGAACGAGAGTCAGCTGAATGTTGGACGTATTCAATGGTTTGTATATATTTGCATGTGTATCTGTGGGGTACAGAACAGACACATGACCTTTCCTCTTCACACCTCACTTAACCAAAATATCAGATGAGATTAACACATGGTTTCATTAATTTTCTGAGGATTGTTTCCCCCCGCTTCCACAAATGTTCCTTCTTTCACAAATGACATTCAGGATAATGAGTGTGGATGGGTGAATTAAAGAGGGATCATGTGTCTCAGGAAATGTAGAGAATATTCATTCTGGTTTAATCCCAGCAGTTTTCTGAGGTTGACTTATAAAGCCTCTGCATTGTATTTCTGTTTCTTTGCAAACTGAGTTCTCTCATTCAACTATGAAAGTCTTCTTCTGATTTAAGCAGCACTGTCAAAAGTTTTCTCATATAGTTGAACTTAGAACATAA